CTGATGTCCCAACCCTAAACCCTAAACCCCTAAACCCCTAAACCCTAAACCCTGATGTTCCGAGGCCTCGTGCTGCAGCGGTGCATCCTCGAAGCCTTCCACCTCCAGCAAGTCCTGACTCCGACTGCCAGCGTCGAAGCTCAGGGGAGTCCGGAGTCCTGTAATGTAGAGGCCTTACTAATTCGAATAGGGTTCTGGGCTTCTTCATAGTATAATACTTATTATGTAGTAGGGAACCCTGAGGAATACTATTGATAATTATTTAGGCTTCTATATTGAGTGTTTTCATCCGGCCGCATGTCATGTGCAACATTGAAATACTGTGCTTCCACACTCCCGCGCGAACCGTCCGGTTCTTGCAGAATTCGGTAAACGATTTCCCGGAGCAGGGTGCGGGCTGAGTGCGCGACCGAGCAACTCCATGATTTCATGATGTACCCTTCTACTTGCATAGGGTTCAAGGAGTGTCAAATGTCGTTACTGGTTACTGAATCATTTCACAATTTTTCCCCTGAAACTTCCACACTTGCAGTTCTTGTCTCCCGTGTACCGTTGCGGCTGCTTGTACCAATGCTGGCGTCTTTGTGACACTAAGCAATGGGTGTTGTCGCACACTCAGCTCCACCATGCCCGACCGGTGATGCATGGATTTGCTGAGGTTGGCGCCAGCATGTAGTTCGGACGTGTGGGTACCTGCGGTGGCTTCTCCCAGCGACATAGAGGCCTGCGGCCTGGACCATGTTTGTTCATAAAATAGAGATACCACAGTTCAGTGGCAGCCACACGAAGACACGAGAGGGAACTTGAGGGACAACGAGCGATATGAAGATGCGAAAAGATGTGAAGTCTACGTTGGATACATGATTCCATGATCGCGTCACTGTGGGCTTCGAGGGTTGTGCCAGGCTGTGAAATCTTGAAAGTCAGATGCCAGCAGATGCCTTGCACACGAGCAGCTCGATCGGGAGAGGACACGAGATCCTACATCCCGCAGGAAAGCAGAAACTGAAGCAGGTAAGTAGTTCCGTTTGTTGGGTGCCCGTTTGCCTTGCACTATGGCTGCAGCTTGGAAAGGGCCGGTAGTGTGTAGCTAGATTCGTGGGCACATCCTACATGCAGCGCGTTAGCAGTATGTTGGGGCATTCCGACCTTTCCGCTCATTGATTGGTTCGAGCTTGGTTTCCTTATCGATTCTGAGCTCGCAATAAGTATGTGATCGTACTGTAGGGGTATGCTGATTTGTCCTCCGCAGCGCGCTGATCATTCTACTGCTCCGACAGCCTTCAGTTTGGAATCTTATCGGTGCTTCGTACCTGTAGACTCTACCTGTGAATCCAAAAACCTACCGTTTGAAGGGTTCTACCCTCCATTTAAGGGGTTATAACCTACTATTTTGTAGGGTTTTGGGGTTACCGGTAGACTGTAGACTCTAGACGGAACCGTTCTGGGCTTGCATCTTGCCCTGGCAACCGCCGGAATGGGGTTTCCAGGTCTCCCGAACCTTCGCAGTGCAGGATTTAGGGTTTAGGGTAATAGTGCCTCCCAGCTGATTGGCAGAGTCTGGGTTCAAAAAAGGATATAGAGTACTATAGAGACTTTACACAAACGTGGAACGCTAGCATGAAGACATGGGGTGCTCCCTGCGGGCTTCGAACTCCCGTGCGAGCTTGTGTATCCTTGTGATTCACTTATTGCAGACTCTGTTTATGAGTCGCATGTACAGTATTCATTTTCGCTGCCCTCTTACTACAAGAGCTTACGGAAGCGTGGCACTATTGCCTACAGCAAGAAGGTTGATTGACAGCTTTCTTTCCGGGGCTCTGCAAGACTGCCTGCTACCGGTCCAAAAAAGACTGTGACTACGAAAGACACGCAAGCACTAGCATCATGCCTTTGCTGCCTTTCAAATGATGCCACGTTTGCAGATCTTTCTCGTAGTGACTGCTTCCGTGCAGACTTGTCGTTTCCTGCTGAACACACTGCTTGTGGGCTGAGGCCGTGATTGTGACTCACACCATAGTGCCAGAATTGCAAGTAAGGGTCTTGTAATGTACATGCGTTTGACGTCGCCTGCTTCAGAAAGCCTGGGCGTTCAGCTACATACAGATTTAGCGAGCATATGCCGTGTGGAGAGAGCCTTGCCAGAGTGTTTACAAAGCCGAGGAATCACGCTATGCGTGTGACCTGTGTGTAGATGGTAAGAACAATAATAACAGTAACAGTGCCAATCGTAGTAACAATATTAATGTGACAAGTGGAAGTACCTTCACGAAGCACCAGGAAGACTCCCTGGTTCATGAGCTCCCTTAGGACTGACAAAGGCTAAGGCTTAAGGCCGCACATCATATCTGCACTCACACCAGAGCACATCAAGGCGAGCCGTCTTTGCTTTGCAGCATTTAACGCCGGGCTCGAAGCTCTAACAGAGCAGCCAAAGACTCGCCAATCCCTCGGCGCCATGGGAATTTCGGACTGCCGCACTTTGTTCCGGGGTTCAGGTTGCTATCGGCCATCAGGCCTATGTAAAGCTACCCCCGCTCAGCAGATCGTCATCAGTTTCCATAGCTGAGCTTCTCTCGGGACGAGGGCACACACATCATTGGCTGGAACTGTCCAAAGTCGCTGACTTCTGAAAATCTCGGTGACGTCAGTTCCACTGACGTCATCGTCATCATAACCCGCCATCACCATCGTCGGTTTCTTGGTCTTCATCTTCCTTGCCACCAGGGATACTATCGCCAGCAGCACATTGAATCGTCATCATCATCACCATCACCACCATGATCATCGTCCTCGTCGTGGTTTTCATGTGCAGCACCCTGCAACAGCATCGTAACCATAGCACCATCCTAAACAAACAGAGCGACAGCATCTCAGAATGCCGGAACGGCTCATGGTAAGGACGTTGGTGGAGGTGTTGTAAAGTACATAGTCATGTTATTTATGGCAGGATCTGGAATAGGCACGCAACATGTCCACAGGACGATGCACTTGACCTTGTTCTGCAGAAGTGGGCTTGGGCAAAGGGGGAAGAGGCACCAGAAACCTGCCATGCATGTGCATTGCCTGGTGTGTAAGCCATGCTTACTACCGCTAGCGAGGACAGGTTCACGCATAAAGCCCCCTAAGCTTTGTTGCTTGCATGGGCAAGGGTGACCGGTGACCAGACTGCGTTTCGGTGCCAATCTGCTGAGATTCTACAGCAAAGGAAGTCCTTGCAACCCTGACTTGACTTAATGTAGCAGATGCAAGAGCCATAGCATGATAGGCGTTGGACATTTAGGTAAACCATAGTTAACCAAGCAAGCGGTTTCGCACCCTGTAGCTTCAAGTCCTCGCGACGACCGTTTGCAGTTTCCCACTG